GCTGCTTTGAATAGAGATGACTCTTAATTCAGCCTTTTTTTTTATTAATGCGACCCCAAGCTGTTAAAAGTCTGTCTCCTTTCATTAAACCTCTCCTGTGCTCCTCTGTCCATTCTACCAGTGCGGGCGCTAGGGGGCGCTATAGCTACCCCTGGATTAGTCATTGCACCCCCATAGCACCCCCAAAGTAAATATTAGATTTTTTTTTACGATTTAATTTTAATTTACCGTGTGGGTGTGATAATATTTAACACACAAAACAAAAATAATCAGTAAATTATCACATAGATAGTAAAAAAACAGGAAATTTGTTAACCTTTGACCTCATTTTCCACCTGTGAACGAGTGAAAGGTAGAGCTAGTGGTAAGATGGATCGGTTTTTGTTGCCCACATTTCCACGGTTCAGTCAGAAATGAATGAATCTTTGGAAGTGATCTCAGACCCACAAAAACCCACGGATGTGGATGAAGAGAGTCAACCCTCAACCGCTGCAGCAGTCGAGGGTTTTGCCGCTGGAAATGCTAACACTAACGTTAGCTAACCTTGCAACTCTATAGATGGATTTCTGTGTGGCTGTATGTGTTTATGATTTCATGGAAAAGTCAGCGATTGTTCGTATGTTTATGATGTATATTAATGATTGTTTCAGGTGTTGTTGAGGTTTTGTGCACGCATGTGTACCTGCTAGTGTTGAAGGTGTTTTAGAGAACAATAGGTACGCATGACCCCTTCCTTCATAGCACCCTCAATAAAAAGACTAGCTCCTTCATAGCACCTGCAGAAAAATATTTCTGGAGCCGCCACTGCATTCCACCCATTTCTGGCTCGATGTTCTCTTCTTCAGATGCTCTTCAATGGTCTTGCTGTTGGTCAAAGATAATAAACAACGCCGCCCCAAAAGGTTGTTGTAGTGCATTGCAGCTTAAAGAATCCCACCCTTTTTTACTGTAGTTGTCAAATGAAGGCTCTGTTGATGACATGTTTTGACTATTTGTTGTAGACATCAACCATCAGTTGACCAGCTCTAGCTGCATTCCTGTTGAAGGGGCCACAGCCTACACTGGAATGGCTGTGAGTAGGTTGTCCTGACATCAAGCTCAAATTTAGTGCCGTTGTAGCTTAGAGTTAACCCTAACACATCTTTTGGCATTAACTGCTGAAGTCGGCTCGTTTGTTAGCTAGTTATGTCATCAGTGATTGGACGCACACCTACAGCTCATAACTTAGGGAGTCAAGACTATTAGAGGTGATCTCCACAGCTAATTGAACATGGCAAACCTCCACTGAATGTACCTGAACACACTGACCTAAAACACTTAAAATGCCATTATTTTTTCTTACAGAAATGTTTGGAGTATAAAACCTACCGGAAAGACCGGAGATGACCTGCATTCCTTTAAAATTGTGTTTATAGTTCTATTGCAAGGCATATGTCGTAGTTTTACAGTTGTGTAAATAGCAATGCACTCATGCATGTAAGGCAACAGTTCTACCAATTGCACATCCAGGCAATTTAAACATAAACTAACATATTTTTATTCAGGGGGGAGTGATATTTTATTGAATAATTGAATTCAAGCCCAAAACATAGTAGTGATCATAGACAGATGAAAGCAATGAAGACATCAGGCCTGGGACATGTTGGAAATGTTGGTTCCCCAAGAACTCTCGTCGTTATCAGTTCAGATCAAGGACAGCTGGAGTATTTCTGCTAATGTCCTTGAGCCACCTCCACAGATTCAACATTTATTTTCAGAGGAACTTGATTTGCTGTATCTGTTAACAGAGATCGTGTTTAAACCTTGATTTTCACCATTAATCTGCTGCCGAAGAGGTCTGTTTTTATTGCAAGTTGCTGGTAATTCTAGTTTTTAGTGAGGAAATTGAATCAGACGGTGTTGGAATCAGCCTAGAAAAGGTTTTGGTGCCTTTCTTTACTCCTGGTTTTAATCAGGACGCACAGATTTCAAACCCTTGAAGTATGCGTGAACGACCCACATGACATATTCTCACCCGGCTGGGCCGCGCCGCACACAGCTCTCCATGTGCATGTCTGCATCATCCTTCTGACCAAACACAATGCTGATTAGCATTTTAATAGCTGTCCTGGAGGCCACTCAAACCCTCGCTTACAGTCGTCATCAGCTGTCCACACCTGTTACGTTTGGGCCGTAAGAACCCATCAGCCATATCTGGTTGTTGCGTCAGGAAGCTTTTTTGTCTGAGCTGCACATTTAAACCTGTCCTGCACACCTGTCATAGGCAGGTAAAGGGACTTGTCCAGCTGCCAGGTGTATTCAATTGAGAGGATTGGTGACTTAGCGGTAGCGTGTTTTGTCTTGGGGGGATTAGCGGGCTTCCACCTCACACGGTTGATAATAGAAGTAGATTTTTCACTTGCGTAGGCGGTGGCTATAAATGTATACGGGGAGAAACGATTCCCACTTAAACCCTGATGTATTAGAGCTTTTTTCTCCTGCTCGTGGCGTCATCTTTATTTTGACTGGGTCAAAAAGGGGACTGTGACGGCTTTGGTCTTTTCCTGCTATATTCAGAAGCATACGCACTTGTGGATTGAAAATAAACTTAGATTAGTTTGTTCCTGAGTGAAACACAAGCTGTTATCATGTCCACTGCTCCAGCTGGAACACCCACATGCTCTTACATGCGGAAAAAAAACATCTCATGGCCATGTTCAGCTTTGCTTTGATGGCCTACAAGATATAAACAGATTAAGTGTTCAGATCTATAATCATGTTCCTTCATATTTTTTTGCCGTCCTTCAACAGTTTTTCAGCTTTTTCAGCCAATTTTGGTGTTAGGAATAGGACTTGGGACATTAGGACTTGTTGGCTCTGACCTTCGGTATTGACATCTTCACCATTTTTAAGATATTAAACTTTTTACTTGCAAAAAGAATACGTATAGCTTAAATAGAATCCTTCCAACTCGTGTAAATGCAAAGCATCAAAAAAGGGTTGGAACTAGGGATGTCTGGATACTACTTTTTCACTTCCGTTACGATACAGATTAGGGATGTGAATCTTAGAGCAACTCACGATTTGGTTCGATTCCGATTCTTGGGGTGCCGATTCGATTCAGAATCGATTCTCAATTTAAATCGATTCACAATCAGTATTAACAAAGGGTGTCAGCTCCAGGATTAACTACTTTGTTGTACAAGTTAGTTAAAGCTATGGGACATTTTTATTTGACTTTAAACTGGTCATGCTCCAAAAATGCTAATTTACAATGTAAAATAAAGTGATTCTAAAACTGTAAACAGAAACAATCTTTTGACCAAAAGGCAACATTTATTTTTGCTTACCTTGTAAAATATAACAAATCTGTAGTTACCAAACAGTAGCTTTGTAAGTAATACGGCCAAATACTTTTCAAGTATGTGTAGAAACAAGTTACATGAGTAATCCTGAGTACTCATTTATCAACTTAGAAAATTTGAGAATATCTCAAATTTCTGAGTGTGGAAAAATGACATTCAAGTGCCTTCTTATCAGCAGATTCAAACATAAATCATCTCAATTTATGGGACCACAAAAGTAAACCGAGTACTGACTCTCCGAACAAAGACCAAAAAAGTTCATCTCAAACCTGTAACATGCCAAATATTGGAGTTCTTGGAATCGATTCTGAACCTTTATAAATAAGAATCCCGATTCAGACTTGAATCGATTTTTTTCAGCACCTCTAATACCGATATTTCAGCCTTCCTTATTGACCGATACCGATATCAACCCGATGCGATATCAGCACATATCACACATGCTTTTACCTGTGTCGTAGGGTGGAATGTATGAAAGGCTTGTTCAAGTAATATTACTCAATCGGAGAACAAAAGCCAATAACAGTAAGTATGAAAAAAAAAATTACTATTTTTTTGTTAACGCTTGCAAAAATGTAAACCTTAATAAACTTCTTATATCGGATATTTTTGATGCTATCCGATACAGTTTTGGGGTAGATATCGAATTACTTCCGATATCGGAACGGGACATCCCTAGCTGGAGCACAGGCAGGCATGTAAGCAAGTGGGTGGAGCCTAAATTTAGAGGCACGGTAGATATAGTGAGCAAGTGGCCAGGGCCTAATTGGCATTCAAGCCACTGACTGTTGATATAATTAGACAAACCCTCTGCGCCGTGTCTCATCACTCCTGGAAAATACCAAAATGGAGCTGAGAGCAGGGCTGAGTTGATGTAGCTATGAGCTAAACAAAGCTAACAGAGGTTGGTGGACGCTTTTGGCAATAAAATTGTGGTTGAGTAACTCTGCCACCCTTTGCCTTCTAGGCTATAACACTTTTAACACGAGACTGATCAGGCCTTCCCCGGAGCAAGCAGGGGGATGAGCTGCTAGCGCTAGCACTGTTGACTCATCTGATACCTGTAAATTAAAAGGGCACGCCCCCACATATTCATAATTTCAAGCTTTCATTGTGGTCGGAGGGACCGGTGGCGCCTGTGCTCGGCAGCCTCACCTCTGTCAGTGCGCCCCGGGACAGCTGTGGCTACATCGTACCTCATCAACACCAGGGTTTGAATGTGTGTGCGAATGGGTGACTGATTGTGTTGTAAAGTGCCTTGGGGGGTTCTAGACCTCTAAAAGGCACTAAATCAGATACGGGCCATTCACCAGTTACATCTAAACAGATTAATAAACCAAAGAAACTCACCTGTCAGAGGTGTCATGACTGTACGCCAGACCTATCAACCCTAAAATGTTTTTGTAAATGTTGATTTCTGCTATGAAGTTAGCATTTTTAACATGGGAGTCGATGGGAACGTGCTCCCTTCTGGATCTGGCCTCTAGTGGATCAGGTGGGAACTGCAGTTTTTGGTACTTCCACGTTGGGGTTGGCTTCAGCTCCTTGATTCAAACGACATTTGTGGAAGAAATGCAATTTTATCTTTTTAGATCTTTTTCAGAAGTGCTGCAAAACCTCTAATGCTGCTTTTTCGTTCTGCTTTTTCATTCCCAGGTGTCCTTTTAGCTCCCAGAGCAGCGCGTCTCTGAAGAGAAGACCGGTGGTTTCCTTCCCTGTTTCGTGTTGCAAACCAGCAGCTGGTTCTTCACACTGCCTCTCCGTCTCTCTCCTCCCATCTGTCCCAGCGCTTGTGCCAAAGGCTGTTGCATAACAGCACATTCATCTGCTCTCTGCGTGACTTGTGAGCAACGAGTCCTCTCAAGACCAGACCCGAGTGGCATTTTTCAAAACCTTTTTTTGTTTTTCCCCGCAAAAAAAACAAAACATTTCTTTTTTTCTTTATAAGCAATTAACAGCTATGTTGCACTTGTGCTTAAACAGTAGTCCCACTTAACTCCCCCAGTTGCCCCAGTTGAGCTGCGTGGCCTCATTCTAGATTAGTATGAGTTATGACAGCTCCACATCAACGCCCAGCAGCACACAGGTGGACCAGGAAGCTGAGTCGCGGCGGTTAAATGAGCAGAAGTCCAGCTGTGACCAGTGTGATGTCACAGCTGCAGCTGCAGGGGGATCGTCCCCAGGGGAGGGGTCCGGATCAGGCAGCCCGTCCGGAGACCAAAGGGGGCTGAACTCGGACGACACGGATGGACTGTCCAGCGGGAACGACTCTGGAGAGAGGGACAGCGAGGGCCAGATGGCGAGGGAGAACAGCAGCTCCCGCAGCCACAGCTCCTCTAACGGGAAGGACTCGGGGGTGATGCTGGAGACCACAGACAACAGCAAGAGGTAGGAGGGGCGGGGGTGGGGTAAACGCCACACCGTCTAGCTGAGATCCGTTTATCTGTCGCGTCAGAAACCGAAAATGCTGCTCAGATGATTCCAGGAAGTTCTGCCCTCAGCGTCTGAATCGACAAACCACAGACAAAAGATTCATGTCTTTTGCATTTTACTTCCAAGAAAACCGATCCCCCTGATCCTGACTTTGATCTTCTATTTTATTAAAAGTTTTTCTTCTTTCTCCAGCCCCAACTTCCAGAGTCTGTCCCCCCCCAACGGCTCTCTGGCCTACAGCCTGCTGTCCAACAGCTCGGAGCACGAGCCCCGCTCCACCTCCGGCTGCAGCAGCGACCAGTCGGCCAGGCTCCAGACGCAGAAGGAGCTCATGAAGGCCATCAAGGAGCTGAAGGTCCGCCTGCCAGCCGAGCGCAAAGCCAAGGGTCACTCCAGCACGCTGAGCGCTCTCAAATACGCTCTCCAGTGTGTCCGACAGGTCCGAGGTGAGAGGCGGGGCTTATTTTTTAGGGAAAGAAAGTGGATGGGGCTGGTTTGAGCGTTTTGACTTGGACTCGTTCTGCCTCCCCAGCCAACAGGGAGTACTATCACCAGTGGAGCGTGGAGGAGTGCCACGGCTGCAGCCTGGACTTGTCCGCCTTCACCATCGAGGAGCTGGACAACATTACTTCAGAGTACACTCTCAAAAACACGGTGAGATTCAACACCCTTCTGACTTCAGGGTGAGAATGAAGCTGTGGTGTGGTGGACTGACCCGGGTCTGGTCGTTCCCAGGACACGTTCTCCATGGCCGTGTCGTTCCTGTCGGGGAAAGTGGTGTACGTGTCCCCCCAGGGCTCGTCCCTGCTGCGCTGCAAGCCCGAGTGTCTCCAGGGAGCCGTGTTTTCAGAGCTCCTGGCCCCGCAGGACGTCAGCACCTTCTACAGCGGCACAGCGCCGTGCCGCCTGCCGTCCTGGGCCTCCTGCATCGGCTCAGGTCAGCTGCCTGAAACCAGAGTTAATTCACTGGGAGCTGCAACAAGAAACCTAACAGATTCTGTGCTCCCTCCAGCTTCTCCTCCTGTAGACTGCACTCAGGAGAAGTCCATGTTCTGTCGGATCCGTGCCGACCGGGCCCAGGGGGGCGAGATGAGGTACTTCCCCTTTCGGCTGACGCCCTACCGGCTCACCCTGAGGGACTCGGACGCCGCCGAGCCACAGCCCTGCTGCCTGCTCATCGCTGAGAGGGTCCACTCTGGATACGAAGGTGTGCAGCTACAGCTCAGACGGTTACACCTCTGACAGAGCTCCTAAAGCGATGAGAGCGTGTCATCGCTCTAGACTTAACCATTAACATCTGGTCATAGGAGGGTTCGTATATCAGAGATGCACCAAGAAACCGGATGAGGAAGTGAGTCCGTATTGATAATCTGAACTTTAAAAATCAGATTGTCTCTTAAGTTGTGAACGCAGCGCGGTCGAGCTGAAATAATCAGACGTTTTCCCGACCCTTCATCTCACCGCTGCTGATTTACGCTAGAAGTCTTTGACTTCCACGAACATAATCCGATTTTTAAAATGGCTTTTCTGCTTTTTGTGGATCTTTTAAAACAAATCTGTAGCGGCAGGTCTTCGGTACAGGAATCAGAAATCAGTATCGGCCCTCAAAAGATGAATCTTGACATTTCTAAATAAGTTAGTGTTGATGTTTAGCTCTGTAGAACGTTTATAAACAACTAACTTGCAGATAACTCCCAGAACAACCTCAGTTTGGAGAAATGGAGACTAATGTCAGATTGACAAGCTAACTGACCAAAGCTAATCTTATGATTGTGGCTGCTTATCCTGAAACCTCTGGAGGTTTCTTCCTGTTAAAAGGGAGTTTTCCTCTCCACTGTCACTGCATGCTTGCTTAGTATGAGGATTGCTGTAAAGATGCTGACACTAGTCAGTGACTCGATGCAACCTGCTGGCTTCCTTACATAGGGAACTTTTAATCAGTTGGCATAGTTAAATGACCTTGCATCATGTATGTTGTAGCAGAAATATGATGTTCCTGTCGGACATGTTAAAGCTAGCTGCGTCAACTTCTGCTAAAAAATAAAATTAATCACCAATCTGATCAGGTGAAGTCTGCAGCCATAGCTAGGTTTATAAATGAGCATTTACATGAATTTATTTTCAATTTCTTGACACGTTTCGTGACAACGGTGCCCACTTTTGTTTTTAGCCCAACTGTACCTAGCCGTTAGCTTATCTCTCCTATCAGAATTGACCTATTTCTCCAAACTGAGGTCGTTCAGCGATCCTTCTCATGATATCGGTCTTCAAAACATCCAAACCAAGTTCTGGAAACAAACGGATACTTTTGTTATCGATGCTGAAATTCAACACAAACGACCAAATCTGGAAAATAAATCCTGCAGAAAAGGATTTTTGATGACTGACATCGATCGTTATAAGCCTAAGCTTTGTTATAAACTGTAAAAGAAGCTGCCCCATCAAACGGTGCAGGCTGCACAACGAGTCTGAGCTGGTCAGAATACAGCGACTAGCTCACAGAGGGAGACTAAACGAGTTGTGTGGACTAAACTCTGGTTTCAGCGCTCAGAGGTCCAACGTGCCCTGATACAGAATGTAACAGGTGGACAAACGGTTGGTCCTTCTGACACAGATCCGGTGTGAAGAACCAGATTCTTCAGCGTTCACATCACAAACGCACCACTTCATTAACTCGGTTTCCCAGAATACTTTTACACGAGTCTCCTCTGTGTCCATCAGCTCCTCGCATCCCCCCAGACAAGAGGATCTTCACCACAAGTCACACGCCCAGCTGCCTCTTTCAAGAGGTGGACGAGAGGTCAGAGACACTATTTAGCTATTTTTAGATTTTATTGTGATTTTTGAGCATTTAAAGGTTTAATTGTTGAGTCTGAGAAACTGTCGGTCCTTCCCGTTACGTCCGTTTTTACCCAGTGGTGTAAAAGTCACATTTCTGGTTTATTAAACTTGTTTTCAGGGCCGTGCCATTGCTGGGCTACCTGCCCCAGGACCTGGTGGGAACCCCCATCCTACTCTCCATCCACCCGGAGGACAGGCCCATGATGGTGGCCATCCATGAGAAGAGTGAGTTGCAGATTGTCTTTCAACAGAAACAAAAAAAACATTCCCAACACGTATTAAAAGCGAATCCCAGAAGGATTCTTGGCTGTAAAGTTGATGTTTTTGTACATTTAGTTGTTTCTGTCGTCTGTTTCCAGTCTTTCAGTTTGCAGGGCAGCCGTTCGATTACTCGCCCCTCAGGATGTGCGCTCGCAGCGGGGAGTACCTGACCATTGACACCAGCTGGTCGTCCTTCGTCAACCCCTGGAGCAGAAAGGTGGCGTTTGTCGTGGGACGGCACAAAGTCAGAACGTGAGCCTGTTGTCTGATTTTCTTTTTGCCGTGTTCGCACATTTCCTCTGGTGCGTCGCTAATGTTGCCGTCCCCTCACCGGGCCTTTAGGAGTCCTCTGAACGAGGACGTGTTCACCACCCCAATGGGCTTCGAGAACAGGGTGACCACGCCCGACATCGTCCAGCTGAGCGAGCGGATCCACCGGCTCCTGGTGCAGCCGGTGCACAGCGGTGGCTCTCAGGGCTACAGCTCGCTGGGCTCCAGCGGCTCGCGGGGCTCCCGCCAGCAGCACCTCAGCGCCTCCGCCACGTCGTCCAGCGATAGCAACAGCCCCGCCGTGGACGACGTCGCCGCCACGGTTGCGTCGCACAAACCCGTGAGTCTGATCCATGTTTGGAATTTTTACACCGTAAATATCACCAAATCCTTCAGGCGTGAAGTTACTTGGGTTTCTCGTTTCCCACCAGATGACGTTCCAGCAGATCTGCAAAGACGTTCACATGGTGAAGACCAACGGGCAGCAGGTTTTCATAGAGTCTCGGAATCGCCCACCTCCTCGAAAGAACGCCTGCGCAGGTGACCTGGAAGGCTTGTCTGGTTAGATGGAAGAAACCTAGATGTTAGGCCCCTCATTTTAAATGTTCCTCTCTGTTCTCCCGTCGAGGTGCAGCCGGGATCGGAGCCATCGGCGACGACCCAATCAGAGGTCTGATAGCAGACATGACTCAGCCTCCCAAAGCCTTGGTTCCTGCTCCGCTTGTGCAGAAGGAACCTTCCACAGGATACTCCTACCAGCAGATCAACTGTCTGGACAGCATCATCAGGTGTGTGTGTGTGTGTGTGTGTGTGTGTGTGTGTGTGTGTGTGTGTGTGTGTGCAGATGTTAAAGCAACTCTAAATAAGTTCTCCACTTCTCCCTAGGTTAGATTTCTGGATCAAGAATCACTTAAACCCATTTGAAAGCAGCATCCTGAACTTCCTGGTGCTGGTTTAAGAATTCCACTCACCCTGTCGTCTTATTACAGATACTTGGAGGGCTGTAACATTCCAAACACCATCAAAAGGAAGTGTGGCTCCTCCTCCTGCACCGCCTCCTCCACCTCTGATGACGACAGACAGCCTGATGGCAGCGGCAACAGCAAAGGTACCTTTCATACGAGACTAGCCAGCTATTTTACTAATATTTAACACAAGTAGAAGCGGGAGAACCCAACTCTCTGCTCATTCAGCCCAGATGTGCGAGTCAGACTCATGAGTTTTACATCTGTTCGATGACCCGGTTGCTAACGTGTTTCTGTGACCATGATCTCTCTTCAGGTGGTTCAGTTAACCTCGTAGGTGAACCACCTCCTCTGCCTCCTCTGACCATGGCCTCGAAGGCAGAGAGCGTAGCCTCAGTTACGTCTCAGTGTAGCTTCAGCAGCACCATCGTCCATGTAGGAGACAAGAAGCCTCCAGAGTCAGGTGGGCACCGTCAAGCACCCTCACTCTCCGCAGATCTGTGATGGGAACACGTCAAGATCCCTGGACTTCTCTTTTGTTCTTATCTGATGTTTTTCTACTTGTAGAACTATTTCAGACTCTTTGAAGTTGGGTTTTGAACATTTAGCCTCTTACCCAAGAGAAATGGTGTCATTCTAACCAGATTTACAAGCAAACAGCTGGTCGCTACAAGTTCACACATTTCACAGCAGAACATGCCAGCTCTGTTTAGCAAATGGGTTAAAACTCTTGTAAATTTTTACATAGAATGCTGCTGAAATAGTTGGAAGCAGTGCTGTTTCCTTTTTCTTGACTTTAGTAGTTTCTAAATGATCTTCAGGAAATATAAAATCAAACTGTAGCAAATGAGGATTTGTTTTTCATCTTAGATTATTAGCTCATACTTTCTACTCTTCATATTTAAGTATTTTTTTCCCTTTAAATGTAGTTTTACAGTGAAAGTGACCTTATTTATATACATTCACATGTGGTTGATTTACAGTCAAAACCTTAAATTTCTCTAAGAAGTAGAAAAATACAAGTTTTTAAAACATTAAGAATATTTTCAAACATTCAGAGTAAAAAATTTTAAGGTGAACAAGTTAAAAACATTTTTAAAAAAGGAAATGGCTTAAAAAGTAACACATTACAAAACGTTTTCCAAAGGAAAAGCTAAAGGTTAGCATTTTTTTGAGAAAATTCAAAAAGTTAGTTCGAAAAGTGAATAAGTAAGAAAAAGTTTTTAAAAGTTTTTTTTAAAGGCAACATTGAAAAATATTAGTTTTCAAGTGGAAAAAAGCTACATTTCATCAAATGAAAAAAAGGTTAAGTCAGTGATTTAAAAGTTAACAAGCCTTAAACATTTTGGGGAAAAAAATGAAATGTCTTAAAAGTAACACATTACAAAAATGTTTTGAAAAAAAAGAAACGAAGTTTAGCAAATTTTGGCGAAAAAGTTTTAAACAAATATTTGAAAGCGAACAAGTAAAAAATTTCTAATTTTTTAGAGGGAAAAAAAAGCAGATTAACAAGGAACATTAAAAAAACAGGACAGCTTAAAAACCACTCACACTTACAAAATGTAGATTATTTTTATTGTTAAAATATATAAGTGCATTTTGGAAAAGTAGTAAAAGCTTCAAGCCAGAAAAGTTTCTCCTATAAACTCCAATAAGGTTTTAGTGAGTCTGTTCACCAACACTGAACCATATAGTTGTTTTTTCTACTTGTTCCTGCATTGTTTGTTTATTTATCTTTAGACTTGACAAATCTGAGCTCAAGCATCTGACTTCTTCACCTTAATGTTGTCAAACATCAGCAGAGAATCACTGGGTTGTTTGTGTCTTGTGGACCCCGTTTGTCTTTGGAGGACTGGACCGAGACGACGACGAAGACGGTGCCCACGTAAAGTGGTGTTGAGGAAGAACTTGTTTTGGGCAAAGAAACGGAAACTCATCCGTGTCAACATTTCTTTTACCAATAACTAAATAAAACAAAATCCACTTTATTCACTGTTTTTCCAGGAGAAATAGATCCAGCTGGATAAAACATGTCGGACATGTCTGTGATGTTTTAGTGAAAAACCATCAGAAAAGGATTTATGAATGTTTAAATGTTTTCATGTCTCCTATCAGACATCGTCATGGAGGAAGCTCCCACCACCCCCACCTTGGCCCCGCCCCCAGCCACGTCCCTGACACATTCTCTAAAACTGCCTGCTACCCCCTCTCCTCTACCACCACCACCACCACCACCTCCTCCTCCCCCCCCTGAAACAAGTCAGCCAGACAGAGACAGCAGGAGAGGCGGTGGCGGAGGTAGTCAGCTGGGCCTGACTAAGGAGGTGTTGTCCGCCCACACTCAGCAGGAGGAGCAGGCGTTCCTCGACCGCTTCAAGGATCTCAGCAAACTTCGTGTCTTCGATCAGACCGTCCGCAGCCACACCACCCCAGCTGCTCTGTCCAGAGGTATCACTCCCACTGGTCTGATTAAACACAATACTGGTTCACTAAAGGTTTGTGTGGATGAACAGAACTAACCCAGTGTGTTGTTTCGACTCAGGAGTGCGCTGTTCCCGGGATTACCCCGCGGCGGCAGCAGGTGGTGCAGGTCGCCGACGAGGTCGTGGTGGCAAGAGGCTGAAGCACCAGGAGTCGTCAGACCAGCACAGCTCTCTGGGCCTGAGCGTGAACCGTCAGGACCTCCAGTCCAACATGGCCCCCATGCCCTTTACGGCACCCCTCGGAGCTCCCACTAACTCCTCCTCCTGGCCTTCGGTGGGCTCCCAGGCCAGCATTCCCTCCGCCCCGTTCGCTCCTGGCATGCTTCCATTCTACCCAGTCTACCCGCCACTGGCGCAGCCCTTACCCGTCCATGACCCATCTCGTTTCCCCCCCGCCCAGATGGTGCCCCCCATGATGGCCCTGGTTCTGCCCAACTACTTGTTCCCCCAGATGGGAGCTGCCATTCCTCAGCCGGGACAGTTCTACAACCCAAACTACGCCTACCCCAGTGTCCCCATTGCTCCCATTCCCTCTGTCTCCAACCCTATCCCCGTCCAAGTCCCGGGCACCTGCGCCATGTCTCGAAGCAGCACCCCCCAGTCCTTTACCCAGACACCCGCGGATCGAGACGGTGCAGAATCCCCCCTCTTCCAATCCCGCTGCTCCTCGCCTCTCAACCTGCTGCAGCTGGAGGAGTCACCTAGCAACCGCCTCGAGGTCTCCACTGCGCTGGCGACATCACAACAAGCCCCGCCCACTGCGCAGGGTGGGGCAGCCGGGGGCCACAGTTCAGCCAATCAGAGGAGCTCTGATGGGACCTCCAAGGACACTGAGAATGTGAGTTTTCTGCCTTTTAGGCCACTGTAAATGTATCTTTCACTGTTTTACATGTTTTTTCTCTACTTTTCTCCACCAGGCTGAAGCTATCGAGTCCAACCAGGATGCCATGTCCACATCCAGCGACTTGCTGGACCTGCTTCTGCAGGAGGACTCCCGCTCAGGCACTGGCTCGGCCGCCTCTGGTTCAGGGTCCTCAGGCACCAGGTCCTCAGGCTCCGGCTCCGGCTCCAACGGCTGCAGCTCCTCTGGGACCTGTGGCACCAGTCAGTACTCTCTGTTTTACTCTTAGACTTTCACACAGGTCCCAAAACACCAGCAGCTGTAGACGTCCATCTCTGCATCGTTGTCTAAAACTGACTCTGTACTCTCAGGCAGCAGCCAGGGCAGCCACACCAGCAAGTACTTTGGTAGCATCGACTCCTCAGAGAACGACCACTCCCGAAAGCAGCCAGCAGGGGGCGGCAGCAGCAGCGGAGGAGAGGAGCAGTTCATCAAGTGTGTCCTGCAGGACCCCATCTGGCTCCTGATGGCCAACACAGACGACAAGGTCATGATGACATACCAGCTGCCTGTCAGGTACAAGACCTGAAGTTTTGATTCTGGATTTCGGTTGTTTTTTAAAACCATGATGCCTTTAAGGGTTCTGCACTAGAGCCGTCCCATTATGAAAAACCATTTTATGACCAAACCAGCTGCCAGTTTCCGTCTGAGCGGCTCATGCTTAGATGTTAGCTGATCGTTAGCTCACCTGTCCTGCGTGTGACCCAACAGGGACATGGAGACAGTGCTGCAGGAAGACCGCGAGGCCCTGAGGAACCTGCAGAAGCACCAGCCTCGCTTCACAGACGGCCAGAAGAAGGAGCTGAGCCAAGTCCACCCCTGGATCCGGACAGGTCGCCTGCCACGAGCCATCAACATCTCTGTAAGCGCCGCTCTACATGCTGCAAAATGCAAAACTACTAAACAAAAATCTGACAGAATCATGTTTGTGGTTTCAGGGCTGCAGCGGCTGCAAGTGTCCCCCCTCCGTGCCTCCTGCCACCCCGTTTGATGTGGAGATTCACGAAATGGAGCTGTGCACGGTACTGAAGGCTCAGGAGAGTGGCGGCAAGGCTGAGAAACACCTCACAGAGACCGCCATGGACGATGCTCCGCTTGAGAATGAGGACGAGGAGGAAGAGACGCTAAAGAAGGACACCAAAGTGCAGGACGACGGGTGAGAAATGACAGCAGGGGGACAGAGAGTGAGCTCAGAGACGGTGGAAGAAACACCAGAGACTTAATTTGAGAAAGAGAAACACTTTTTGAAGAAAATGCACCTTCCAGAACTTTCTTATCCAGTAAAGACGTTAGCAGACGATCCCCCTGGCGGACATTGAGGTGAAGATGTATCCAAATGGACCAGGCGGGATTCTAAAGCTGTCTGAACACATCCGGCATGTTGCGTATAACATGCCTGGAAAACCACACACTCGGTTTTAGAGTGATTTAGCCATTTCTTCCCTTTTTTGTTGTTCTTAGCCGTATTTATTTAAGTTGTAAAGTAATCAGAGTACTAACGACCTCGGCGAGACGGGACATTTATCCGTAACTCTTCTTCACGTTGTATGCTCCTCCCGTTTAACTCCCGTCATTTTCGTTTTGTTTTTATAAAAAGTTTTAAGAAATAAATAAAAAAGCTACTTTTACATACAATGTGCAGTAAGAGTCAAGTAATTTTTCAAACCATGTATTTTTTTATAAACACCCCCCCCCCCACCCCACCCCACCCCAGGACACACAAATATGTCCTAAGTGATTATCTACACTGTAAAAAAAATATTTTGTTTGTTTTTCTGCCACTAATTAGAAAACAATCATTTCTGAAACAAGCTGTGATTTTGACGCTACAGTCTTGTTGCTTTAGCTGATGTACACTTTGTGTGGCACTTGGACCATCAGCAGGTGGCCCGTCGGCACTTTTAACATTTCTCTTGATTCTCGGGTCAGTCAGCTAGTGGGAAGCTGTGGAGCTCTGTTCTTACTCTTGTATTTAAGTGACTTTGAAGAGGTGGATGCTTCTTTTGTGGCTTCTATCTCCTCTTTTCTCTGTCACCTTCCTTCGTTTCCCTCTCTGTGGCACTGACCTGCACATGTGATGTCCCACGCTTCATGGCGTCAATGGCTTCTGCGACAGTTCAATATTTTTGTGAAGTTCTTTGTATAAAAAAATGACAATAAAAATTATTTGAAAGGCCTTTAAAATATGAAGCCTGGTTTATTTTTTCTCCCTTCAGCACAGCCTCTCCGAGCAGGCTATTTCTGTTGGTGGGTATTGTGCAGCAGTTGGCGCGAGTACACGTAAATATCCAGAAAGAACTGGAAGCAGCTGCTTTGCTAGCCCGACCACACGCTCCTTCTTTTCAGCTGCGGTTTGAACCCAAAGTGGTCACCGCAGCTTAAAAAAGACAAAGGCATGTCCGTGTTCAGATAAACACGAAGTGGCAAACGTCAGCTCCAGTGCGCATAACAGTAATGAATGTTAACAGGTGTGGGTCATACAGAATGGCTGTTAAGCAGTTAAAAACGTTTAATTCCCATTGCATGGTTTAGAATTTACTTTTAGAGTGACGTTACTGAGCCAAAATAATTTCTTTGATTTATAACAAGGCAATTGTTAAAAAGACAGATTTATTTTTTGCAATAATTTATTTTTCTATAAAAAGTTTTTTAGAAATTCTCACATAAAGCAATTTCAGACTCTTTTCTTTTTCAGAACCTTCCAGAATGAGCTGTTTCAGGGCTGTCACTTTAATGCAAATAAGCTGTTGATGGCCACGCCCACCCATCTCCTGATAGGCTGGGCACTTAAAGAGCAAGTCACCCCCTACAAGAGACTTAATTCACTCCTTCTTCATGTTTGAAAAATGCAACAAATGCTGTTGCCTAGCAGACCGAGAAGGCGGAGCCACTAACAAATACACACACACACAGGCTCACAGCGGCATTGTGACATCATAATGTACCAGTTTACATCATAGCGTACCTCTTAGCCAATAGCGGTGGCAGATTTAAGTACAAATACAGTGCAGAGTTTTTACCTGACAACGGCGCAACACTGACAGTTTTAGGCAGAATATTTAAATTTTAACTAAGATGCACTGAAGTGCCAAATTATTGACGACACGTGTCTGCAGCACAATTAGACACACATTTATATAGTTTATCAGCAAAAAAAAGTTGATTTGGGGGTGACTTGCTCTTTAACAAATGTGAAACTGCATAATTATGGATCACATTCCTGCTTCCTACCAACAGCATTATAGTTAAAGCACTGTGCCGCAGCCAAGTGATTTAAATCCCTTCCTGTATGTTCCCACACATGTTCAAGTGCTAATTTAAAAGCTTGTAAATCTCAGCACCGCACTGGTTACAGGATAAGCAACTCCTGAGCCAAGCTAGAAACACAAAAGTACTTAAAGTAACTCTGAGAAGTTTCCTGTTCCTCCGCCCTACTGGTTGAAAGTGGAATTACTGTTGTAAACAACTCTGCTGCAACTTGCTGTAACTAGTGCTAACAACAAGCTAACGCTAACATGAGCCAACTAAAGACTAATTTATTCTTCTCCGTCTGTGTCGGGACGGACACGCAACACAATTATGCAAAAAGCCCTTGACGGTCTTACGGAGGAAAACAGACGTGCCCCAAATTTTAACTATCTGTCGAAAGAGATGGAGACCACAAGCTTGTGATTGGTCAGGACGCTGCTTCCTGTTTTCATTCGTCAACAGTGCTGTCTTTTCCACATCAAAAAGTAAAGAGATATTTAGCGGCAGACACGGAACAGGTTGAAGAATGCAATGAAAACATGAATGTTTATTCACCCGTGACTGAAGGAGTACAAAGATATGCAGCAAGCGTTTGATTCGTGGATGGAAAAGATAAGAAACGTGAATTTATAGATGCCGACTGCATGAAGAGGTGCAGGGGAATGAGGGACAAATTTGGCCGTGTTAAAAAGTCTGAAATAAATTAAAACAATGTCAACACAATAGTAAATACACTATCGTGGACCGGACACGTGACTGTTGGCTGGATACCTCAGATTTACGCTACACCCTCTGTTGTCCTGGCGAGGAATTGTTTTGCAACAATCCTCAGCTGACGGAGAAGTCTGAAAGCAAAAGGTCTCTGTCAATGCGTGTGCATCTCCCCCTCGCGGAGCTGATGGAGAAGTATAAATTAGGCTTAATGTGGCAGAGCAAATTGTGGGCGATGGTGGCACAGGAGTTAAGTGCTTGCCCCATAATCGGAAGGTTGAAGGTTTGAGCCCCGCTCAGTCTGTTGCTGGCGTTGTGTCCTTGGGCAAGACACTTAACCCACGTTGCCTGCTGGTGGTGGTCGGAGGGACCGGTGGCGCCAGTGCTCGGCAGCCTCGCCTCTGTCAGTGCGCCCCAGGGCAGCTGTGACCACATCGTAGCTCATCCCCACCAGTGTGTGAATGTGTGTGTGAATGGGTGAATGACTGATTGTGTTGTAAAGCGCCTTGGGGGTTCCAGGACTCTAGAAGGCGCTATATCAAATACAGGTCATTTATTGGCCATTTAATTCAAATTCAAATTCAAAAAAACTTTAATCATCCCCGAGGGGCAATTGTTTCAGTACAGAAGAATTGCTACTGTGGTCATTTGCAACAAGAGTCGCACTACCGTTAATTAGATGAAAAGGGGATCACATGAGGATAAATTGGGGGAACGAAAAAAAAAAGGCATACCAGAGTTACTCCCGGCAGGGTGTAGCTTTACTATGCAAAAAAAAAAACGCCTCAAACATATAAGCACGAACATCAACAATTCACAACATGAGACACAGAGAGGAAGGTGCGGGGTAGGGGGGATCCTGTTTCCCCAGCAAGAGCAGCCCTATGGCGCTCAGCCACTGTAGCCACAGGTGGGAGGGAGATCTTGGGAGGAGCGCAGAGCACATTGACACCTGCAGGTTGATGACCTTGCCAGGCTGAAGTCTACTAATCCGAAGGCAGGGGGGTAGGTCGGGTTTTCACAGCATCTGTCTGCATTCCTTCGTGGAGGTTTTGTTGTTGGCATTCACAAGGCTGCCATGGCGTCAGATTCGGATAACAAGACTTTGTTTGGGTCAGGCAGAGATAATTTTCCTCTCTGCCTTCAAGTCTGTAACTGATCATTCAAGTCCTCCAGTGAAGCCAATTCAGGTTTTAAACATCTCCACACCGCCCAGTGACCCTCTCCGAGATGACATCCATTTTGCGCACTAATACCGGTATCGCAGCTAGAACATTGACCAGCTTACGATTCACCTCGAGTAACGTCCCAGTCTGTGAGGTCTCCACACGGACGGTGCTTTCCATGGGTGCGGGTCGCCCTCCAATCGCTCCCGTCTTCCCAAATTTCCAGAAAACCAGATATCCTCCCACTCCAATCAGAAGAAATCCAGTGATCATCAGGCCAAATATCCACACATCTTCGACGTCCTCAATGGACAGCTGAGAGAGGCATACGATCTTCCACTCCCTCCAGGAATCGAGCATATATCCCGCTGCGTGTGTCCCTTGCGGGCAAGTGGGAGCCCCCTCCTCCGTTCTCATCATAGGAAAAAATCTTATCAATCGCGTTGAATGACCAATTAATTAAATCCATTCTTAAAAATAGGGTTTTTCAGAAGAAATGCAGAGAAGCGCTCTGTAGGCAGACAGGACAAAGAGCCTTGGGAAAAAATGATAAGGGAGCAAAAGCAGAAGCGTCTGTACTCTGCGAGTGCCGGAAGAATAAACCACAAAGTAAAAAGATCCACACTGTTGGACAAAAAATAGTATTACTTACAAGTCCAGTAACAACAAAGCCAGGCCATCATCAGTAAATGATTGTGTTGCTTCTCTTAGCTTACTTAGTGTAGAATGTTCACGCTGGTTTTAGCTCCAATGACATTACGCTCTTACTTTTACTTCCAGGCTCTGACATGATGCCAACAAAAAAGCAAACTTCTTTTGCATCTTCTTTTTATTGAAGAACGGCAAACTGCAAAAGCTAACCGCTGGCATAACAGCTAACAGCCATAAAGCAGGTAAAGAGCTCCCCCTATAGGGCACCTACCCGCTCCACAAAACTGTTAAGTGCAGTTTCTGGTCAGCAGAGGGCTATAAAGCGCTGTTTAGGGTGAAGTTGGTAAAGTACTTTAAAGTACTGACATCTCCCTCATCTGCTGACTAGAACTGATACAGCTCCATCCCTCTGAGGACGTACACTGGCTAATTAGAGGTGGGTGACACATCATTTTGCCCATGTCAATATATTAGTTTTTTGAAAAATAAATAAATAAATAAGAAAAGACATCCATATTCCTTTAAGATGCTGTGCTACTTCATCAAATATTTTCTCTTTGTGGACTCTGTGTAAAGGAATTTAATGTGTGTAGTCAACCATCATCAGTGGTGCGTTAGTGCTCGGGTAATTTTTGTAAAAAAACAGCTGGCTTCTTCAACACTGCATGACTGTTTTGACTACATGGACTGGGGAGTATTTAGGGAGGGCAAAGATGTGGAAGGACATACATCTGTCCTGCCCCATGTGCAGTTCTGTACTATTGCCGTCCTTCCCATATGGACAGTCAAGGTCTTCTCATATCAGAGACCTTGGCTGGACAGTACAGTGCAGCCCCTGCTTGAACCTCAAGACGCTGCCTACAGGTCAGGGCACAGGCTGATATAGCATTAGCAAGACCAGGAAAGGACTCAAAAAAATCCAAAAGGCAAAACACAGCTACAAACATTATCATGAAGAGCACTTCCATAAAAACTACCCAATACATGGAGGTGACTGTGAAGGCAGCAAAAGGGACAATTTAAAATCTCCAGTTATCCCGATGTGTGTTTTTGTGGGAGGAAGCCTGGAAAAAAAAATACAGAAAGACCACAGCGTGTCTTGAAAGAATACATATCACTTGCTCTTTTTCCTGCCAGAGTTTTAAAGTGAGATTTTTTATGTTGGGAAAATGATGGAGTCATAGCTGTTTTGGTCAAGTCTTAAACATAACGTGCATATTCACATAAGAAGTTGCAATACCTAGCAAAGCTGCATCCATGCACAGAGCACATCCATCCACACACAGAGGCAAGAACATTAGTGCACACCTTTAAGCCAGACTAAACGTCATGTAATATTTGTTTGGGTGTTTCATGCAGGTTATTTAGATTTAAATCAGTGAAACAACCATCATTCATCCACCCTTGCCTTTTATTTCCTCCATCATTTCCTCTTCACTCCTCCCTTTTCCGGACCTTAACATCTCTCCACGCCTCTAACCTAAACTTCCCCCTCCTTCGTGCGGCTTCCCCTTCTCCTCCTTTTCTGTTGGTTTTCCTGATCCAGGAGGACAGCAGGATGGAGGACCGGGCGTGGACCGTTGGTCTTCTTGTCATTTTTTTGATCTTAGGACGAACTGATGCTCAGAGTCAGATAAACGACACTAACTTAAGGTAAGGCGTGTGCAAAAGTGGATTTGTTGTATTTTTTTCTGCCATTGAAGAAAAATGTGTCAGTGAGCTTGTGTGTTCTCCTGGTGGCTGTAGTTTAATTACTGAAAGTGGAAATAGTAGGCTTCTGTGTTAGGAAAGATGTGGTTGGCATCCCATAAACACACACACACACACACACACACACACACACACACACACACACACACACACACACACACACACACACACACTGAGACACGCAGGCAAAGGCTAAATGACACTTTGATGGAACTGATGTGGTGATTAATTGCAGCTTTTTGAAGAAAAAAAATCTATTTTTACACATTATTCACATCTTTGTGAACTTACTTTCTTCCTCAAGTTGTTTATTGAGCTCGCAGCATGCATGATGGCCTTCCACACACGCAGGGTGCAAATTGAACACGAGAAACAAACAAATACCTGTGGCCTGCTCAGCTCCGGAGGGTCTGAAGGGAAGGACTGAATCGCTGCCAATGTGGCCCTTCGGCACCGCAGCAGACACGCAAACTACCGCATGCTTGAAGAATGTGACACTAAACTCCTGATTTTGCTACCTATTTTCTGTTTTCAGCTCTAGATTAGTGCAGCGGAATGAACCGCTGCTTCCACGTGTGTCTCCTGACAACCTTCATGTAGTAATCAAGTGTTGTGAGGAAAACACCCATCTCTTCATGAGATGGTGGCCTCCAAGAACACAGACAGCCAGTGTGTGTGTGTGTGTGTGTGTGTGTGTGTGTGTGTGTGTGTGTTTAACTAGAGTTTAACATCAGTACTCGTAGGTTTTGCTGCACAGGCGAGCAGCACATTCTTAGACATCAAGCACACTAAACTACCAGCAGTGTTCTTACGTTTTCAGGCCCTCGTTCCCCTGCGGAGGCCACCTGGTTACTGACTCTGGCATCGTGGCAAGTGAAGACTTCCCCGAATACTACAAACCCAACACTAAATGTACCTGGTACATCACTGTGAGTTATACTTTTAAACCCTAGATGTGGAAAGAAGTTTTTACTTTAACTCAGCAGACTGAGAGGATAGAGGCATCCATACCTCTTCCCGAGGGAAAGGGTGAGATTCTCCTCTAAACTCCTAGAGGCTTCATTGTTGCATCCTGTTGGGTACACTGGTGCAACATTGTGTGATGTTAGGACTGGCAGACCTGGGTAGTGGTCCCTCTCTAAGACAGCACCAGGGTTCCCGTTACACACCTCTATACCCCTGTGTGAATGTGGGTTAGGGCAGGTTGGAAGGAAGGAATTAAGAAAGAAAAAGGAAAGATTGATGGATGGATGGATGGATGGATGGGTAGATAGATGGGTGGGTGGGTGGATGGATGGATGAATAGATGGAAGGATGGATGGATGGATGGGTGGAGGGATGGGTGGATGGATGGATGGAGGGATGGATGGATGATGGATGGGTGGGTGGGTGGATGGATGGGTAGATAGATAGATGGGTGGGTGGGTGGATGGATGGATGAATAGATGGAAGGATGGATGGATGGATGGGTGGAGGGATGGGTGGATGGATGGATGGAGGGATGGATGGATGATGGATGGATGGGTGGGTGGATGGATGGGTGGATGGATGGATGGGTGGATGATGGATGGCAGATGGATGGATGGATGGGTAGATAGATGGGTGGGTGGATGGATGGATGGATGGATGAATAGATATATGGATGGGTGGATGGATGGATGGGTTGAGGGATGGGTGGATGGATGGATGGATGGATGATGGATGGGTGGGTGGGTGGATGGATGGATGGGTGGATGATGGATGGCAGATGGATGGATGGATGGGTAGATAGATGGGTGGGTGGATGGATGGATGGATGGATGAATAGATATATGGATGGGTGGATGGATGGATGGGTTGAGGGATGGGTGGATGGATGGATGGATGGATGATGGATGGGTGGGTGGGTGGATGGATGGATGGGTGGATGGATGGATGATGGATGGCAGATGGATGAGTGGATGGGTGGATGGATGGATAGATAGATGGATGATGGATGGATAGATGGGTGGAGGGATGGATGGATGATGGATAGATGGGTGGGTGGATGGATGGGTTGATAGATGGATGGGTGGGTGGATGGATGGATGATGGATGGATAGATGGGTGGAGGGATGGATGGATGATGGATGGATGGGTGGGTGGATGGATGGGTAGATAGATGGATGGGTGGGTGGGTGGATGGATGGATGGGTGGATGATGGATGGATAGATGGGTGGGTGGATGGATGGGTAGATAGATGGATGGGTGGGTGGGTGGATGGGTAGATAGATGGATGGGTGGGTGGATGGATGGGTAGATAGATGGGTGGGTGGATGGATGGATGGATGAATAGATATATGGATGGGTGGATGGATGGATGGGTTGAGGGATGGGTGGATGGATGGATGGATGGATGATGGATGGGTGGGTGGGTGGATGGATGGATGGGTGGATGGATGGATGATGGATGGCAGATGGATGAGTGGATGGGTGGATGGATGGATAGATAGATGGATGATGGATGGATAGATGGGTGGAGGGATGGATGGATGATGGATGGATGGGTGGGTGGATGGATGGGTTGATAGATGGATGGGTGGGTGGATGGATGGATGATGGATGGATAGATGGGTGGAGGGATGGATGGATGATGGATGGATGGGTGGGTGGATGGATGGGTAGATAGATGGATGGGTGGGTGGGTGGATGGATGGATGGGTGGATGATGGATGGATGGGTGGGTGGATGGATGGGTAGATAGATGGATGGGTGGGTGGGTGGATGGATGGATGGGTGGATGATGGATGGATAGATGGGTGGAGGGATGGGTGGATGAGTGGATGGATGGGCTGATGGATGATGGATGACAGATGGATGAGTGGATGGATGATGGATGGATATACTGATGAATGTATGTTGGGTTAAGTGGGTAGGCCTTTCCTGTTGTCATGAACAGAGGTTTTAGTAGAAAAACAGTAAAATATCTGGTTCAGTGTATTTTTTTCTTTCACCACCAATAAAAACCAAGAGAAGAAACAATGTTCTGATGCATTTTTAAAGTCAAATCTCAACCCTCCAGGTCCCTGAGGATCATGTGGTCATGTTATCTTTCCGCCTCTTCGACATGGAGGCTGATCCCACCTGTCGCTACGACTACCTGGACGTCTACAATGGTCACACACACTCAGTGCAGAAGCTGGGCCGGTTCTGTGGGACGTTCAGACCAGGAGCTCTCATCTCCACCTCCAACACCATGATGTTAGACATGGTTTCAGATGATGCCACAGGAGGAAGAGGCTTTCTGGCCTCCTTCAATGCAGGGAAGCCACATATGGAAGGTACCTCCACAAGCTTTACCAACCTGATGCTTTTTTTTTTACCATCCAGAAAAATATCCTTTGATTCAGCATATTGCCACCCAAACTGATGGTCTTTTTTTTTTTTTTTTTTTTAACAGAGGACCAGTTCTGTGGAGGTCGGCTGACCAAATCACATGGTTCAGTAAAGACGCCCAACTGGCCTAATTCCAATTATCCAGCAGGAATCAGCTGCTCCTGGCACATCTCAGTAGAGCCACGCAATGTAAGATGGTCATAATTAACTTCATAGTCTAAACTCAATATAGAGTAAAATTGCTGGTTTGATCATTTTATTTCTTAGGTCATCATTTCGAAACTTTTTTGTGGCAGTTTTCCAGGCTCTATAGAAAAAAATCCACCCAAATATCTAATAGGGTCATCAATTTTCTTACATAGTAGGAAAAAAGTAATTGTTCAGGGTTTCATTTGTAAGCTGTGGTGGGAGTGTTTCGAATCGGTGTTTAACACAAATGCATTAAAGGTGTGGTAGGTGATATTCTGGAGCATTTCCTGCAATACTGCTTGGAATGATTTTCACACACTGATGGCAACCAATAAATTAAATCTTCGGCTAAATAAAAATAATAATAATGGGAATACAAGTGAGTGATTACTTGTGTTGTAAAGCACCTTGGGGGGTTGTAGAACCTTAGAAAGTGCCATATAAATTATTATTATTATTACATAAATACATGCTATTAACAAATTAATCAACTCTGAAATGTACAAACCTTGAAGATCCTCATTCAATCATTGTTCTCAGCCTGTTCTTAGAGTTTGATGATGATCCATCCATCAAACTGTCCTCTGACAGTCTCCATCCCTCTGCACATACCCCTCTATGTGCATGAATAGCAAGTTCTTGGGTCGGAGCAGTTGATCAGGAATTGAAGCCAATAGCCTTGTTGTTTATGGGGATTTCTCAGATTAGAATAGAATAGAATAGAATAGAATAGAATAAAATAGAATAGAATAGACTTTATTGATCCCATAGTGGGGACTTTCAGCACAACCCAGCTGTAACCTTCGTCCACAATGAAAAAAAGAAAACTAGTGTTTTCAGAACTATGCAGCATACTGTAAGGGACATAGCCATACTAATGTACATCCAGTATTCCACAAGATTTGAACAAATACTGAGCATTGCATTGGTGTTATTGTGTCACGGGATAATGCCAGTACCAGTTCAACTGAAGAGTTATCCACTCTAACTATGGTGGCGTTCTGTTTTGGATGTCTCAGTCTGCCTCTGAAGGAGTTGTCCATGGTCTCCACAGTGGAATGCAGTGGGTGGGAGGGGTTTTCCAAAATGGAGGTCATCTTCACTACCATCCTCCTTTCACACATCTCAACTGAATCTAGTTGGCAGCCAAGAACCAAGCTAGCTTTTTTAACTAGCTTGATTGTTGTTGGCACTGAGCTACTGTTATTTTGAAGTTAAGTATAAACCAAGAAAGGTAGGAACTGCCTAGTATTTCACCCAAATATGCCACATTAGCTAGCAAACTAAACGGCTATGTTAGGAAATATTGCAAAAAATTTGCAAACGATGAGTCGAAAACATAAGATGTTGTTTTTTTAGGATTGTTTGACAGTATCCATTGCATCCTGTGTTATAACATTTTCTGTGTCTATCTCATACCGTGACTCTCAGAGGAGCCTTACTTCCAATCCATACTAGAAGCGTGAAAAGGTGTGGAACGTCTCAGCTTCATACTGAATCAACCGTAATCTATAGGTTCATCCGCTCTTGCTGCAGTGCAGAACGTTTCGGGCACATCCCAGAAGCAGCACGCTGCGGCGCAACAGATAGGGTTGGTTTCTATTTTTGCCACGAGGCGCTTCTGTGACACATCACTTTCTTCTGTTAACATAGAGCTACACAGGAAATCACACATGGTATGAGTGTAAAACATATGGTCTTTTTCAAAATAAAAGACTATTGTAGAGATGCGATTTCTATGTAGATTACATCAATACATGTGACCTAACAGCTTACTTACTCTCAGCATCGTTTGACAAGTGCAACTGTGTGTTTTCCATCATGGAAAATTAGGTTTTATTCCTGGCAGTGGAAAGGCACAACATTATAAATGACATCCAACTGTAATATCAAACTTGATCTCCTTCTTCTTCTTTATGGATTAACAGTGGGTGGCATAGGGATTTTGTGATCTTGTCCAGAGAGGAGGACGGCAGAGAAGTTTCTCCATGTCTGAGACTCTCCTCAGTGTGAATTATGCGCCATGAAGCACACAAGTAAACCGCTCTGCTGCTGTTCTGCGCCGTTGACACCTTCGATGTGGATTTGGGGTTAATCTCAGCCAAACGTAGCAGTAGCAAAGGATTTTGTATCACTGGCGAGTCTAGCCATGCTCCATTGAAGCCTCAGCAGTTTTACAACGGTACAGTTTTGTATCTTGCCAATCACAGTTCTCTGTTTGTTAGGTGGGTTCAACACTAGTCGCAACAGAGAAAAACTACAAATGTGGTGTCGGCACAGGAACGGTGCTCAATAGGTGGCCTAAATCTCCTCCCCTTCAGGTCGGATCATTAGACCCTAACCCTAACCCTAACCCTAAACCTAACCCAACAAAGAAATAAGAAATGCAAGTGAACGGGGCTATAAAAGTTATTTTCTAATCCACTTTGCTTTATACCCTGAATTACATATGCAGACGTGGACAAAATGTGACTGACTTCTGTAAAGTCAGTCAATGGCGCATTCATTGCTCTGGTTGGTCCTAACACTGTCCAATTGCATGCAGAAACAGTATGAAAGACGACCGTAGACTGGATGGTTTTAAAGGCTTGAGCATACAGGATGGCTTGCCAGGCAATTGGTGCCTAAGAAATGGGTTTGGACCTTGCAATTGTTATTTTTCAAAATGTAGTTTGCTTGAAAAGCTATTTTTCCAACAACATCAACCACACCTTTAAAAGCATTTGTGCACTTCTGTTCTTCAACTGCAGAGTAAATAATTTTGAAGAATTCATACTTTTAAAACTAATATTATCAATAAGAGCACCAGAAATAATTCAATTGTTGTATACATTATAATAAAGAAAAGACATATTATTTGACTTGAAAGAATAAGCATAAGAGCTCCCTCCGTCAGCTGCTAATGCTAGCTGATTTGTAACAATACAAGCTCAAATATCTGCAAAGCAACAAGATTATGAAAATGTGCATTAGTTTTTAGCTAGCTCTGGCTAACACTTCCCAGGAAGTTGAATGCATCACAGACATACAATAAAAAACGTTGAAAATCCATTAGATTTCTAGCTAGCTGGATTAGCCCCCCCCCCCCCCACACCACCACCAGCATAAGTTTTTTTACTCAAAACAAAGATGTTAGAGAAGTATGAAAAAAACTAAAGGCAGTCATAGTCAAAATGCTAGGTATAAGGCAAAAACCAGAAATTACGTGCAAACACTTTATTTTGGAATGCGAACAAAATTCTTTTACATTAGTTGGAAGAACAAAAATGTTAGTCAGACCTTCTATGCAGCTATGTAGTAAAAAGGCTGTTACAACTGGAGCAGAAAACCAATCTAAATTTATAAAGGGTCCCATCAGAAAGAAATGTTCATATGGTTTTGTGTGTGAATATGTTTACATATAAGAAATGTGTGACAGCAACCAGATGAAGAAAGGCAAATGAAAGACCTCATTGAGTCCCTGCAGGTGTGTTGATGCACGCCAAGAGATTGAACTTGAGGAAACGAGGAAAGGACCAAGAGCAAGAGAGGGAGTAAATGCCTCTCTTTATGTCAAAACTCCTTCAGCACCTCCTCCCTGTGGCTGCACTGTACACATTTTATGAAAGACAGACAGGAATAAGCATCATTCTCTGTATTAAAGTGTATGTTTCCATCTCTTTTCCAGGTGATTGAAGTAAAGTTTGAAAAGTTGGACTTGGAGTCTGATACCTACTGTCGCTATGACTATGTGGCATTGTTTAATGGTGGAGAGACTGATGACTCTAGAAGAATTGGGAAATTCTGTGGAGACAGACCCCCAGGGTGAGGTTATAGCTCAGAATTAGTTAAAAAGAAACTAAATCTTTTGTTTTTTTAAATTATGCTCAAAGTACATAATTTGTCTTCCATCTTCACATAGAACTATAGTGACGAATGGAAATGAGCTGCTCGTCCAGTTTGTGTCTGATCTCAGTGTGACTTCAGATGGATTCATGGCTCACTACACCAGTGTGCCCCGTGGGTCCCGATCACCCACGGCTGGAGGTGACTTCATCCACCGTCCTGATCCCACCTCCAGGCCGGAGAAACCAACTGTAAAGCTAAGCAGACCCATCAAACCAACTCTAAAACCAACTTCTAAACCATCTCCAAAGCCAACTGTAAAACCAACTTTAAAGCCCACCACTAAACAGATTTCTAAATCAACACCAAAACCACCTGTAAAACGACCTGTCATTCGTCCTAAGCCAACCCCGAAACTACCCAAAACAACTGTGTTAAGGCCACCACTGGTGAAGAAACCTCCTTATCGCAGACCCACCCCCAAGACTTCTATCAAGCCCACATCCAAACCCAAACCAGTTAAACCTACACCCAAGCTGCCAGTGAAAAAACCTATTATGAAACCAGTCATCAAACCTACCCCCAAACCCAAGCCAACACTCAAACCAATGCCAACATCCAAACCCAAGCCCATACCTAAACCCAAACCAAAACCAAAACCCAAGCCAAGCATCAATGCCAAACCCACACGTAAACCTCTCCTCAAACCCAAGCCCACCATGAAGCCTCTAGTAAAACCAGTGAAGCCATTCCCAAAGACCGAAATTAAACCAACTGTTAAACCCAACATAAAACCTAAACCATCTCCTAAACCAGGACTGAGCAAGACAGTAACGAAGAAGCCTACTGTCATCAAGAAACGTGAGTTAAATAGTTTGAAAATCTTTCCCCTTTTAACTGGTTTCATGAAGAAAGTTGTGTACTCATGTTTATGTTTTGTGAAATTCCAACAGCTTTACCACTTAATCCACTGTGTACACAACCCTGTAAGAGGACAGGGACACTCCAGTCCAATTTCTGCCCTCATGACTTTGGTGAGCCACATTTTTTTTTCTTTGAAAAACAAATAAATAAATAACACATTGGAAAACCCCAATTTGGTCTTACCTTTTCATTCTCAACGTAATCCTCAAATATTACACAGTGACCATAACTATCTCCGTGGTGTATTCAGTTTTCCATTTAACAATTCTGTTACTCTTTCAGTGATTACTGGAAAGATTATATCCCTGACTGCTGGTCCAAGTGGCTCAGCGACTTTGGAGGTGTCCCTGATCAGGGCCTATAAGACAGGACATCTCAATGTCACCAAGTCAGGACCCATCAAGTCAGTCACGCTGGCCTCCACATGCAAGAGATGCCCTGGATTGATCAAAGGTACAATATTCATCCCTGCCTAAGATAAAATGCTTTTTATATAAAATAATTAGCACTATTCTTTATGAAACTGGAAAATGCTTTCAGAGTGTCTGTTTATGTTCTCCTTCGGGCCAACCATGATGTCAATAGTCTGGTTGGGGTTGGTGAGGTCTTCAGGAGTGAACTATGAGCACAGTTGAGCACTGTTTTCTGTAATAGATCATGATAGGAGTTTTGTGGTTTTGAGTTAATATAATGTCAAAGTGGTTTATCATCAGGGTTAGGGTCGGAGTCCTGGATAGAACATGGGGGAGCGCTGTGGTGGTATGAGTCAACATGGCTTGGTTGTAAAGAGACTGGCTATGCTGACCTCACATCTAAGCTGTGACCCAATTATGCGCTAGCATCATGCTAACGTGGCATGATCTTCTAGCTCATAGCTGGATCCTGGCGTGGCTCTTGACAGCTGTGCAAAGATGAGGCCTGAAATTGTGGGTCTATGTGGTAGGTTTATCATGTCATGTACATCGCATTTGCGATGCATAGATTGTTGTGAGAATACAGCAGACTCTCAGTGAAAAGAGCAGCAAAAACCTCTGTTCGGTGAGTATTGCCCCTTTTCTACTAGTGCCTAAGCGTGGCTCAAATTGACTCAACACTATTCTTCACAGTTTGGGTTGTTTTCCATTGAACTGCGAGGGGATTTGTAGACGACACATGAACACAACACCAAGCAACAATCGAGGAAAAGCTAGCGATGTTGGATTTTGTTAGACTCTGAAAAGGCGTAGACCCTGAAAAGGCTGAGGACAGAATGGAGCAAGAGAGTGTTAGTGACTTCACCTCCTAGCCAATCAGTGAATTCCAATCTTCTGATGTCACGTTTTCAGCCCAGCTCAGAATGCTTGGAACCACATTGAAGTTGGTACTGAAAAAAGGAGGTGGTAACCACAAACTCCTTACTAGTGGGAAAAACCGTAGAATTTTGCCAGGCCGAGTTCGGCCATACTAAATAAGCTTTAGTGGAAAAAGGGCTAGTGATGAATAGCAGAATCAAATTAGTCATGAAACTGAAGTATGCTTTAGAACTTTGCTGAGTCAAGCCATGTTTGATTAAGATGTGTAGGGTATTATCTAGAGCAGTAGGTCTTAATCCTGCTCCTGGAGGGCCAATATCCAGCACGTTTTAGTGGTTTCTTTGCTCCAACACACTTGATTCAGTGGTTGAATCACCTGTGCAGCAGCTCATCAGGCTCTGCAGAAGCCTGTTAATCACCTGCTGATTGAAATCAGGTGTGTTGAAGCAGGATTAAAACTAAAACATTCTGGATACCGGCCCTCCAGGCCCGGAATTTAGTACGACTGATTTACAGTAAGGTAGGTCATTCCAATAGTGACAGACTGTAGGTTATATTATGATTGCATTAATTGTCCTCGAATCATCCATTCATCCATCCATCCATTATAGTCTGCTTTATCCGGGGTCGGGTTGTGGAGGCAGTACCCTAAGCAGTGAGACCCGGACTTCCCTCTTTCCAGCCACTTGGGCCAGCTCCTCCAGGGGAATCATAAGGCGTTCCCTGGCCAGCTGAAAGACATAGCACAAATCAACCTCATGCTCTATTTTTCCTCTCACTCGTGAACAAGACCCTGAGATCCTTTAACTCTTCCACTTGAGGCAGGACCTCATCCCTGACCTGAAGAAGGCATTCTACCCTTTTCTGACTCAAAACCATTGTCTCGGATTTAGAGGAGCTGATGCCCTTGAATCAGATCTTGTAGAAAAAAAGCCACATATTCTGTCTTTTGTATCACTAGTTATCATCTAGCAATTTCCAAGAGTTTTTGGTCCTAATAAATAATATGTTCTTGTGTGGCTAATCATGGTATGTTTTGTCGATCTGTCTCCTGATCAGGTCGGAACTATGTGCTGATGGGAAATGTCGATGCCCAGGGCAATGGCCACCTGAGCCCCTCCAGCTTCACCCTGCTTTATCAGGCCGTACATGCCAAAGCACTGGACATCTTGACTCGCAAACCCTGCTGACATCACGGCCTCATCCACCAATCAGATCAATGACTCTGAGAGAATGGAAGTATTTATAATCATATCTTGCAAGATTGTAATTAAACCTGGTCATGTTTCAACTTTAATAATATTGGCCCGAGCACCTCAGGTGGTGAGAAGGCCTAAGACTCGAGTTTTTTCTGTTTGTTTTGTATGTAAATTATATATTGATTAAATAGTATAGCTGTGTGAACAGATGGATAATAAACACAGTGAAAATATTTTAGTTTGTGCTGTTTTTGATGAGTTAAGACAACTGGTCTTTAACTCATTCACTGCCAATGACGACTAAAGTCGTCATTTGCAATTTTTTACTGTTTGAGCATCAGAACGAGCCCCCGCGCTGAGAGAACAAACATCTCAGCCCTGAAGCCGATCTTCATCCGCATACGTCACACGTCACGTGATCAGGAAGCAGACCATCAATGTGTTAGGAGATCGTTTTGGGCCGTTCCTGTAAAAAAAGTGAGGCGCGAACCGGAAAAGCGTCTGCCGATCACAATTCGACAACGGATTATGAAAGAACGGATAACGCTCGAAACACGTGGATTCTTCCTGATGTAAGAGGTGAGTCTCCTCTTTGTTTTGGTTGTTTTGGCATCAACATCATGCTAGCACGCAACGTTCTGTGACTCTTAAAAAAACAGTAAAAACGGTGAGAAACGCTGGCAGGGAAGGCAGTTAGCGATCAGGAAACCGCTGGCAGTGAATGAGTTAAGCTATTGGACTCCAGCTGCTGCTGTTTTATGCTTTTTATGTTTCAGGGTGGTATTCCTCAAGGACTGGAGCTGGGGACCCTTAGTATAGAAACTCCTAAAGGATCTACCTTTGTATAGACGAGAACAGTCCATACATTACATGTTGCATTTTATCTTGTGTTGACAGCGTGGTCATGAAAAGAAAATTATGCAACTCTGCATGCTAAACATAAAAAATAAAGATTACTTAGGATTGGGGCGAAATCATTACAGAAGGAGCTTAACTGAATGCTACAGTCTGTCAGGAATTGTCATGGTCTGCGTCTGCCCCCTCCTTTTTGTGCCTCCTGGTGTCCTCCATCCCTCTCTAGTTTCCCTTTTGTGTCTCATAGCGCCCTCATGTGTCCTTGTCTTCGTCTCAGTCTTGTGTCTTATGTGGTAACCGGTAACATTATTCCTCCCAGGTCCCGTGTCATCTCATTCCTTCCCAGTCCCTCCAGTTCTTCATTTTCTGTGTAGCCCCCAGCCTCTCAGTCCCCTGCTCAGTGTGGTGTGTGTGTGTGTGTGTGTGTGTGTGTGTGTGTATGTGTGTGTGTGTGTGTGTCCTGCTCCAGTTCTGTGTGTATGTGTGTGCTTGGTCATTTCCCAGTTCTGGTTATAGGTGTCAGAGTTTGTGTGTGTGTGTGTGTGTGTGTGTGTGTGTGTGTGTGTGTGTGTGTGTGTGTATGCTTGTCCTGTTTATATTAGTGCATTTGTGTGTGATGGGGTGTGTGTGTGTGTGTGTGAGTCCTTCCCTCAGTCTCTAGGTTTAAATATTGTATTTTAGGTTTATCTGCCCTTCTCTGTTCTGTTTTCCCATTTGGATTATTGTTGTCACCAGCCTTCCCTCCAGCAGCTCACTCCGCACACCTGCTGCCTGTTTTCCTGATTGCCCCTCCCAGTCTATTTAAGCCCTGTCTTGTCTTTGTCTTGTGTCGGTCCATTAACGTTTGTTAGCTCTGTCAGTTTTGTCCCTCTGTGTTTATTCCAGAGTTTTTGATCCCCAGATACTTATCTGGTTTTTGGTTTTTGGATTATTTGCTCCCAGCTTGGATTACTTGGTTTTTTGGCTCTCCTTCAAAATAAAGACTTTGTACTTGTATCTTCACCCATGCCTCCGTGTCATCCTGGGAACTGCATTTTGGGTCCACCAACACCGCCTCATGACAGGAATCATCTTACGTATATAGCAAAGTTTTAGGTTCAATACCTCAAAATACATGGGACTCTGTCAAGGCAACAAGTTAGACCTTACCCTTTTCAATCTTCTTCAATCTTAGGATGTGCTTGATTACCATGGCTCTAAAAATAAATGTATCAGATATCCCTGCCATGTGTGGTGTGTTAAGAGCATTCTGATCTGCTTGGAATGGAGTTAGGACCGCCCCGATCATAAATTGGAGATGCTCAATGTGTTCAGATTGTCTAGGTCCAATTTAAAAAACAAATGGGTTTGCTGCCTGTTGAATGAAAGTAAGGTTAGCATGCAATTTGCTCCTTTATTAACATTTTTGTTTACGCTAAAGACACATTTTATCATTTAAGAGGTTTTGTGAGACTTCCTGATGTTTGTGTGTAGTTTTTGCCATGGCCACACTATACACCACACACTGTAGGACCAAAACAGTAATATCTGTGATTTTTGTCACCATATGTGGGGTCTCTCATTTGTTGAATTGTCCAACAATTTTAAAATCCTGTTGTGCGAACCAGGCCTAACAGGAATACAAGAATCATATCACAACAATGACTTCAGAGAAGCAAAAGAGCTGAATGTCTTGTTTTTGAGATTGAAAAACGACTTTTCAGAGAAAGGCATTACTGCTCTGAAAACTGTCTACTGATGGACAGGATGTAGGATTTTCATAGCCTCACATTAAACCCTGCTAGTCTCTGAGGATGTGCATACTGAATAAAATCTTCCCACCCAGATGGTATTTTCTGCATTTCTTTTCAAGTCATGTGCAGCAGAGCTTTCTCCATTCTTTCATTTTTTTCTGCTCTGTGGAAAAGAAAATCCACAATAGTCCCAGTCACCAAACGAGTTTCGCCCTCAGACAACGATTTTTAAACCTGTGGCTTTGACCTCCAATGTCCTAAAATGCTTTTAGAACTACAGGTCCTTTTAAAGAAATTAGCATATTGTGATAAAGTTCATTATTTTCTGTAATGTACTGATAAGCATCAGATTTTCATATATATTAGATTCATTACACACAACTGAAGTAGTTCAAGCCTTTTATTGTTTCTAATATTGATGATTTTGGCATACAGCTCATGAGAACCCAAAATTCCTATCTAAAAAAATTAGCATATCATGAAAAGGTTCTCCAAATGAGCTATTAACCTAATCATCTGAATCAACTAATTAACTCTAAACACCTGCAAAAGATTCCTGAGGCTTTTAAAAACTCCCAGCCTGGTTCATTACTCAAAACCACAACCATGGGTAAGACTGCCGACCTGTCCAGAAGGCCATCATTGACACCCTCAAGCAAGAGGGTAAGACACAGAAAGACATTTCTGAAGGAATAGGCTGTTCCCAGAGTGCTGTATCAAGGCACTTCAGTGGGAAGTCTGTGGGAAGGAAAAAGTGTCAGAAAACGCTGCACAACGAGAAGAGGTGACCGGACCCTGAGGAAGATTGTGGAGAAGGACCGATTCCAGACCTTGGGGGACCTGCGGAAGCAGTGGACTGAGTCTGGAGTAGAAACATCCAGAGCCACCGTGTACAGGCGTGTGCAGGAAATGGGCTACAGGTGCCACATTCCCCAGGTCAAGCCACTTTTGAACCAGAAACAGCGGCAGAAGCGCCTGACCTGGGCTACAGAGAAGCAGCGCTGGACTGTTGCTCAGTGGTCCAAAGTACTTTTTTCAGATGAAAGCAAATTTTGCATGTCATTCAGAAATCAAGGTGCCAGAGTCTGGAGGAAGACTGGGCAGAGGGAAATGCCAAAATGCCTGAAGTCCAGTGTCAAGTACCCACAGTCAGTGATGGTCTGGGGTGCCATGTCAGCTGCTGGTGCTGGTCCACTGTGTTTTATCAAGGGCAGGGTCAATGCAGCTAGCTATCAGGAGATTTTGGAGCACTTCATGCTTCCATCTGCTGACAAGCTTTATGGAGATGAAGATTTAATTTTTCAGCATGACCTGGCACCTGCTCACAGTGCCAAAACCACTGGTAAATGGTTTACTGACCATGGTATTACTGTGCTCAACTGACCTGCCAACTCTCCTGACCTGAACCCCATAGAGAATCTGTGGGATATTGTGGAGAGAAAGTTGAGAGACGCAAGACCCAACGCTCTGGATGAGCTTAAGGCCACTATCGAAGCATCCTGGGCCTCCATAACACCTCAGCAGTGCCACAGGCTGGTTGCCTCCATGCCACGCCGCATTGAAGCAGTCATTTCTGCAAAAGGACCCCCGACCAAGTGTTGAGTGCATAACTGAAAATAATTATTTGAAGGTGGACTTTTTTTGTATTAAAAACACTTTTCTTCTATTGGTCGGATGAAATATGCTATTTTTAAGAGGAATTTTGGGTTTTCATGAGCTCTATGCCACAATCATCAATATTAGAAACAATAAAAGGCTTGAACTACTTCAGTTGTGTGTAATGAATCTAATATATATGAAAGTGTGATGTTTATCAGTACATTATAGAAAATAATGAACTTTATCACAATATGCTAATTTTTTGAGAAGGACCTGTATATGTTCTAGTTTGCTGCAGGGTAGGACCAGACCTGTGTTGTGACCCATGGCCACGTGTGTGTGTGTGGGAGTGGTTCCAGGTGCCAGTGACTGCACTGCAAAAATGGTCCATCTAACTAAGTATTACAATCTTATATCCAGCAAAAAAGTATTATTTATCTTGTATTGAGACATATATACTAAACGAGAGCAGAACGTGTAAGAATATTAATCTTGTTATAAGAATATGTGCCTTTTATTTCTTACTTAATTGCTAACTCCTAAAAATAGTTATTTTTAGTGCATTTTAAGTGAAATTATATTACAGAGTCATATCTGAGCTCGCATGGTAACATTTTTTTGCATTGAAAACTTATTTCAAGACCTTCTAGTAAAAAATCACACTTAAGACTAGTTGTACCAACATTAACACATTTATTCCGTTTTTAAACGGCACTGTAGCACCAGTCCATTATCACAACATAGACAAAACCCCATCACAGGTAACAAATCATCAATATGCCACATATTTCACTGTTGCAACTATACATTTAAACTTTTAAGTGCAATAAGGGAATATTTTGTCGGAACATACACACTGCTTTTGAAACTGACTGGATAATATGATGCATGATCAACTAGCTTAAAAGCATCTATAAACTCAGTCGCCTGGGCAAGATTAGGGACTGCAACTTCATATGCTAAAAGATCTTTGTTCCAGCCCACAGTCTCATAAGGCTGGTATTCAAAACAGTATAATGAACTGTTTATCACAAAAATGTTTTTAA